AGAAGTGAAAGAATTTATAGTTACAATACTGGTTACATTTGTTGAAAATCAAGTTGTTACCCCTCTTCAATGTTGATTTATCACCGGCAATGTTGATTTATGTAAACGCTAATCCAACATCGGGGGAAGAGAGAGAATACATACTCAAACGAAAAAGTTAAAAAGTTGGATGAAAAGGCATGAAACAAAAATCCTCAGTTTCATTATACTGGCGGCGAAGCTCGAACAAGAATTTTCTGAGCCTTTTAATATTCACAATGAGTGCTTTGCTGTGCAAAAGTAAAAATGGCCTATGAACTATGTTTAGCCGAAAACAATTCAATTAGCCAATGAGCTTCCAGAAATCAGAGAATTCCACTTCAACTTCTTCCGATGACGTTGTGAGAGCAACGGAATCACTTCTCGCATGCCATCTTCTGCTCTCCACCGGGTCGCCATTAAATCACCATATATTTTCTGTGACAAGGACCTGCCTGCGGATAGAGGTTTGTTATATCATACATTTCGAATTAACCCTTTCACTGCCAGAGTGTTTGATGGAGTTTTGTAAGGCAATTCTAACTTTTGAGTCTGCAGACAAAATCCTATGATGTGACCATTCAAATGAAAGCTCTCTGCCTGTACTTTCACATGACGCTATTTGTTTGTCAAAATTTTAGAAAATGAAATCTGGAAATTTGGTCGAAATTTGCGTTTGGCCACATCTGGCAGTGAAAGGATTTCCGCCGCTCTCTCGGTCCTCCCTAGAAGAGACGGCTGGAAGCGTGAGTGTGACCGTAAATTCAAAATTTAATTTATGCCTCGTTACAAATCATCGGAAATGGGAAATCCGGGTAGGAAATGTACCTTTTTTTGTGCTTTGCCTAGTCGTCGCTTCGGTATTTCCCATAAAAATCAACAGAAACACGTACTGATTGTATTTACATTGATCTTGCATTACTAATAGACTTTCACGTTAGCTGTCAACAACCATCGATACAGACTGAAAAATAATTAATGATCCAGTTCTGGCTGGTTGAATTTCAAAAACATAACTCATCCATTTGCCAGCTTCTCTAAGTTAATACTTTTCTTTGTAAATACTTAAGGTTTCTAAGCTTAAAACGCTGTAAACCACGATCGCACGCCATATCAAACTACACCTAGGCATCCGTCGTTTGAAATCTGCTCCAGAAGTAAAGAGCAGGCAACGATCTGATTGGAAGTAATTGACAATAGCGAAGTCATATTTTGGGGGAGGAGCGCGGGCTCATTTCCCGAACAGCGGCTGGTAATCGAGCCTACTTTCGCGGCAAAGAACGCCTCGCTGCAGAGTTAATATTTAGTCGAGCACAATTGCTATTTTGACATCCATTCCTACTCTTGTGTAAGAATCTGATTATATCGAAAGCATATTGTTACAGCCGATCTTAAATTAAATCGCTGATTCTTAGCAACGCCTTATGCCTTTGTCGACGCGAGTTTTCTGTTCAGGTCAGCATGTGCGCCGGGCGTCAATGCCTCAAGCAGGGAGTTTAAGATACCACGACGACTGCGTGGGTGAAAACGTCGGAAAGTGCAAAGTTTCTCTCACGCGCCGCGCCCTCTTCCAGCGGTAAGTTTTTGTATTTCCGCCTACGTCAGCCTGAAGGTTGCTGCGATTTTATGTCTCTAAAGAACAAGTTTAATATCGTTCACAATCCAAACCCCAAAAGTTGGAGGTAAAAAATATTTTTTCCTGCCGTGTTATGCCAAGATTAAGATTGGACTGTAATGCATGCATTCTTCTGGAGTTGATTATAAAGATGGTCCTGTGATCATGCATTAAAGAAAACTAACGTAGAAAGTGAAATACAAGACATAAATACTGCATAAGCAACTTCCTCGTGGCTAAAGGCGGAATCAGCGAGAGGTTTTGACATGAACTGAAGAAAAAAGAACGACTAAAGACTTAGAAAGGAAATTGTTTTCACGGCTTTAGTGATAGTAAGTATTTCAGGCGAGGTGTACTGGAAATAGAGGTTCAACATCATATAGGGAGAACGGTGAGGTATTTTCAATAACTCAAGACATGCACCTGCTGTTATTGAAAACACTGTCTACTACTGTCTAGCAAGAAGAATATATATTCAGTGGAAACTTACGTGATAACGTGATTAATCAGCTGCAGTAAGTGTACGATCTTTTACCCCTCACATTTTCATCCAGTCAGCAAACTTGACAAATAATTTTATAAAAATCATACGCCAGAGAAATCTCTGAGGAAAATAACAATTGAAAAAATATTCATTTCCGCAGTCTTAATGCCTGTTCCTGACCTATAGTACCCAGATCCTAAGACAGAGTAAGATCTGGGTACGACATTTACCTGCTTCAAGAAACATGTAAGTGAATATGTAATGACGAAAGTTAATGCATTAATAATCAGGTTCGTCAAATAACTGAGAAATGAAGGTACTCTTCGCTCTGCGAACGGCTGGACCATCGCGTTGCTTGGGTGATCACGTAAAATGGCGGTTCAGTAGGAACGGAAAGATAGAATCCCAAGGTTTATTACCATCGTAGGGTGAAGGATATCACAATTCAGGTCGCCGACGCATAAAATATTCTCACTGTGTTTTGTAGCATTATCCAAAACATTTAACAACTCTCTGGTGAAAGTGTTATTATCTACTGATGGTGGTTTATATGCACTAATCAGAGTAACAAACAGTGCTACACGGGAGAACCACAAAAGCGTTGGAACCTGTAATGACAAGTTTACAAAGACAAAACGATTCAGACTTCATGTGACTGCTCTTGACTTCATGGCTCCTTAGCTAAGGTATCTTGATGATTTTTTGTTATTAGCATTTTTCGTCCCGGCGGACAAAAAATCCGTGCATTGACTCTCGTTTAAAACCTCTCTGCAACGGCCACTTTCTGCTGTTCCCTAGGTGACCGTTGTACAGAGTTTCGACTGTACTTCATATTTTTGCCATTGGCTTAGAAACTGGATTCAGAGTAAGAACAGTGGTTTAACCTTTAATATTAGGGACTTGCATGTAAAGCAAATCACTATGGCGACCTCTACTACGGTGGTCATGGATGCAGAGTCCAGGGGAGAGTACATCCCCATCGCCCGCCAAATTGCAACTTTAAGCAAGCGGCGTGGAAACAGTGACTACGACGTTTCTAGCTCAATTGCTTTCGCTTTTACTAAGTCGTACTAACCTCTTTTAGAGAAGCAAGAGATGATGTAATCAAGGATTACTGCATGATATCCTAAAAGCCTGAAAACCTGGATTTGCCGTATGACTAATAAACGTAGCATTTGACGTCCGTTGAAGTTAAGAAATTTTAAACTGCGAAAACGCAGGGAAGGCGTAATTACTGGAAAACCAGAAGCGTCAAATATTTTCTTGAACAAAAAACAATCATAACTGATGGCTCTTGATCAAAGTAAATTAGGCCTGGAAAACATATTCCTGGAAAACAAATCAGTCCGAATTTTTTGCTTTCGACAAGTTTGCTTTACAAAATCTTGCCAACAAATCTTTGGTTTTTAAAACAACCTTTGATACTTTTTATACATCACACAGTCTGAGGCGAAACAGTACTATTTATCATACAGACCTCGGACAGAATGCAGTATTTCACACTTTTTCGAGACAAATTGCACTCAGTCAATATTTGTAGGACGATCAATCGTGGGCTTTTAGCGAAACCGTTCAAAAAATTTCCAAAATCACCTATACGGCCAGCCGGTTCTCACTTTTGACGAGCACCAAATTTGCAGTGAACATTAATAGAGTTACGTTTCAACATAATAAAGAATTTATTATGTTTTTTATTATTATTTAATGGTTTTGTCTTATAACGATGTGTAATCTTAGAAAGCGTTCGATACGCGCGACATTTTGATTACTCCTGCAAGCGATGTTCATGAACGACCGAAAACAAATGGCACAGCGATTAAAATTGCAAGAGAGGCTACTAACAATCAATAAAAGAAATATAATTCGGTGAAACATTCACAGAGACAACAATTTTCATTCATGAAGACAAGTATTAAAGTTTTTCTAAAAGTCCTGAGTCTTAAAGCTTAAGTTTATGTTTTAAGGCCTAATCTACTGTGATCAAGAGCCAAAATTCAGTTATGGCTCTTGAACGTGATCGAAGATGACTATTTTTTGGGTGCACATATAAGGCTATCAACTCGATGTAAGATGTTTCACTCCAAAATCACTTAGCCTAATTTCCCTCACATGAATGTGGCCTTAAGTTAACTGATTTGTTGATTACAAGTTTATTGTTTGATTTAAATTATAAATTTATTAATGGGAGCTTCGCTTTTAGCCCTGGCTAAATCTATATATTACAGATAAATAAATTGAAGATAATTTGGGCTGAATAAAGCTGTCGCCCCAACTCATACAATGGGCGCTTTAGGTATATCTTACCGTCCGAACAGTGGTTTCTCCGGGCCAGACACTACGAAACGTTTCTCTTTCTTCGTAGCGTAGCGTCCGGACTGGAGAAACCACTGCCCGTAAGGTGGAGATATCTCACCTTCTTTTATATAAGTGTGTATAAATATATTTTACTGAATAAAAATATCATGCGATTTATTTATCAATTATATTTACTATAATAAATACTGACATATCATTATTATATATTCGCAGTAAACTTGTTAACATACGATAGTATCAAATTAAATTCCAAATAGTTTGAACTAAAACCAAGAGCCACAAACCAATAATTAAGAGAGATAATTATTCGTTTTAGAATTGCTTTAGCCAACCTTCGACCAATAAAACCACAACGATAAAGTTGAAAAACCTCAACGTACCAAAAACAATAAAGGGCGTCCTGTTTTTTCTATTTTTGTGTTTTTGTTTGTTCCTCGAGCTATTCTCCTTACTTAAATTGATAAAGTCATGGCTTTGCTCAAGGCAGACTGCGTTGATTGTTTAGCTTTGACTAGTAACTTTGCAGTAAACAACTACATTTATTTTAGGTTAAAGTATTGCTAAGACCTGATAACTGCTGTATTTTGAATATTGGCCTTTTTTTTTGGATAACTTTTACGCTGTTTGAAACTTTTTATCTAGTTTGCTTTTGCTAAAGAAAACCGAACTTTTAACAGACATTGTTCCGAAAACAAATGAACTGTCTTCTTCTTCTCTTAATCGTACAATTCGCATCTTTGGCGACTGCAGTAACAGAAATCTTTGAAAATCCGGGCAGTTTTCCTGAACGTTCACTGATTCTTTGGTTCTTCATCTTTACTGTGAGTCTTGGCTAAACAAAGGGTGGCGACATATCGGACAATTTCGTCTGAAACACAGAAAAGCAAACAAATTAACATTTATCTGCAACACTTCGTTATCGGGATTGACGTCAGAAGGGGTTGCACAGACCCTCCTCTTTGTAAGTCCAAGAAAGAAAGTTGAAGAAACTCCGTATTGAAATAAAATGTCCGTCTGTTTGTCTTTCTGTCTGTTAGCTTGGCCAACCTTTCAGATGGAAGAGACATCGCGGTAGTTAAACAAACCAAGGGAAAATAAGATGTGCCCGATCTGGAACACTTCTCTCTCCAAACCCCGCACATTTTTTCCACCACTTTCTACTGCACTATCTTTTAGCCTAGAACAGGCTATCTGTCCGTCTGTTTTTTTGGAAATAGTGCGGAAAGGCTAAATCAGCCCAACCCCTCCCACCCCCCGGCTCTGCCGTGCAGGGGCTGTGCAGTGGTAAAAGCACTCGTAAGCCGCTAGAGGGAGTTGAGTTTTGGTGCACGCCCTTCTATTGATCCTTGGGGTTTTTTCTTGGTACTCCGGTTTTTCCATCTCCTCAAAAACTACATTTCCAGATTCAAATTCAATAAGAAATGGCCGCCAAAGGAGCATCATGTAGATATTCTATAAGTCATTATTATTTATCATTTGTTTATCTACTTCTGTTGGCCACTTACACTCCGTTCTGAATCATAGCAATGGCACACTCCTTATGGACCTTGTGCGAGCATGGCAGGATCTGACAACCGCTGAACGCATCCTGTGAAGAATACACAAAGTTGATTTAATTACAACGTAAACATGCGTAGTCCCGTTTCACCTAGCTTGCTCTCAGTGAACAAAACGCATGTACTATAAATATGGCAGCACACTATTCTTTGCTGCTGTTCAAACTGGGTTTGTCAAAACTATCTGTTAGAAGCGCATAAAAGTTTGGTACCTCAGAAAGAAAGGTTTTATTTGTAGTCGAGATTAAGCCATCAATTATAAAAATCTAAAGCTTGATGCTGTGGAACATCACTGATGTTCCACCATATCAACAAAACAGGACTTAGTCTCCAGAGGTCATTTATTTCCACCTCCCTTGTCAACTTCATGCAAGTTAAGCAGCAATACAAGTTTCGCTATTCAACAGATGCATAACTGTCGCGGATGTATATGTAATCAAGTCTTCTTGGTGAAAAATCGTAAGTCTTCACCTACCTCTAAACATATACAACACTCGTCGTGTCCAGAATCTGGCCTGCACTTATGTTTCCCTTCAAGTCGTTTGTCCAGACACACGTTGCAAACATCACAGTGAAACGATTTGTCCTTGTGTATACTATTCAAGACAAAAAACATAAAAAATTCTGAAAAATTGATAGATTTTCTTCGGTTTACGTAAATGAAACCCTTACAGAGCCATTAAATCCTTATGTTTCCAAATCGTCCTTACTTTTTCTCTTGCAGAGAAGTATTAATTTTCAATGCCATCATATCAAATTTGCACGCCCATGTCCCTATTATGCACCCGACTCAGTGAAGTCGTATCTAGGCTTAGTTTTTTTAAACATTCACCCAGACGATTGCAGTTTTAAATAATTATCAACTACACAATGTCGGTTTTTCAGGCCATCAACCAACGCCTCTACAAAACCAACCGCAACCACGAACAAAAACTGAATTTGTCTTAACCTATCCCATGTGCCCTCTGAATATAGCCTGTGTTCTTTGAGAAGAGATGGCAAATTTTGTGTTCTTACTGAATCGACGTCTAAAGTAGGGCACAGAAGGAATAGTTTAAAAATGGTTATAACTGAATATCTACTCCTATCAGTAATAACTTACCGACAAATACCACATTTATCGCAATGAAAGGGGTTCTTTTCCACCCCGGTAAAATGTTTGCATATGAAACAGAAATACGCTGACATTTGTTCGCCGCAGCCACTGCAATTCTGGCTTCCTTCATTGATCTAAATTTTACGAAAGAAGAGAGAGAGACGGAAAAGGAAACAGTTAATTACGACAAGTGCAAAAATAACTTGAAGTAGATTATGAAACACTGTGAGCTGTACACTCCAAGTGATACGCTCTCTTACAAAAGTTAATATCCTCATCTTTCCAAGAGCATATCTGAAGTATTCATCACTGTTGGGATTTAATTGTGACGAACTGAGTCTTAAAATAGGTTTGTAAAAGTTCATTCCTCTGAAGTAGAATTTTGTCAAATTTTACCGATTGGTTGTCTATGTAACCTGTATACAGCCGCGTGGCTGTAAACATGCTTTTGTTATGGAAACTTAAACTTTGAAAAAACAACAACAACCACGGTGGAGGGGGGGGGGGGTGCGTCCCATAATCGTTTAGGAACAGCAGCACTTTAAATTTCTTACAATATCACTATAACTATATTTACGAGTACAAGAAAATTTGACCGCGTTTTCTGTAACCTGTTTAGAGCTACCTCTACCCCTCAGAAAAATCGAAGAGGGGAGGGGGGAAGCGGCTGTAGCTGACGCTTAATTTAATAAAAGGAGGGAAAAATGATAGGTAACCATACTCGTTTAAGATTTACCTCTGGCGAACTCCAATCTTACAGCAAAAGCCGCTATTTTTCATGTGCGCGCTAATCAAGCGTGTACTTATGCGCAGCAAGAATACGCAAAGCAGTTCTTAGGAATAACCGTAAGAACAAAGCTACTGACCTCTTCTTCGTGTCCACAGATGCCACACTTGACATGCGTCGCATTATTCGCTTTCCTGTCATCAGTATCGCACGCTCCCGATGTATTGTGACAGCGGTGACAAGGGTAGAATATTCCACAGCAAGGAAACTTCACGAGGCAACGCCGCTGATAATGCTCGCACTGCCACCGTGGGCTCTCCTGAACCGGTGCTCGTTCTCCCCCAAACCACCTTGTATCCCTGTCTTCATTTTCTATCTGTTCTCTCCTTTCTCTTTCTTGTCTTTCCCTCATTTCTGTTTCTTCTCTTTCCCTTATTTCTGTCTCTTGTCTTTCTCTCATTTTTCTATCTTCCCTTTCCCTTTCTTCTTTCTCTTTCCTTTCTCTTTCTTCTCTTTCTCTCATTTCTTTTGCCTCTGTTTCTCTTTGTTCTCTCATCTCTCTTCTCTTCCGCGCTGCCTCACGCTGCGCTTTTGTTCTTTCTTCGCGTTCTTTCATAACCCTTTCAACTACTGCGCATGCCTCCGCCACCTTGCGTTCCAGTGCAGCAAGTGAGGGGTCATCCGGGAACTCTGGTGATGTTGCTTCAGTACCAGATCTCTGATCTTCTCTTCTTGAAGTATATGAAGTGATGGGACGAACATGTTCTTGGTTTTCTGTAAAGGAATTGGGTATGGAAGGCTCCATGAAAGGTTCTTGCCCTTTTTCAGGCAACACAGTGGATTGATAGCTGTATGAAGTTACACTCTGAGATGTCATACTCGTAGTAGGTTGCATCTCTGTGACTGGTTTAGTGACGCTGGGGCAGACCATGGGCGCATGCGGTTTTGCTGTGGGTAACCTTAATGCAGGTGGCTCGTTGCGTACAGGAAACCCACCATAAGTGGAACTATTTACATGAGATCCATAAATATTATTGGCCGTGTAGTGCTCTTTTGGCTCATAAGCGCTTCCCATCGCAGCATGTGTGTTAAATGAGCTACCAGATATGGTGCCATTTGTGGCTAGATAGCTCTCCGGGAGTCTTTGACGAGCAAACGCCTCTTCTCCATAAGCAAACAACGGATCGATATGATGAAACGACTTCTGTTCTTGTGGAGGAAATTTTGAGTAAATCATCTCCCTCGAAGGTTGATTCCAAAAATTCCAGTTACTTTGTGTCGTAGTTTGATTATCGACGACTGAAGGGTGCAGCCGATTTGACTGGGACCATTGATGTCTCAAATCGTTTGTTTCAGTAGTATGGGGAGGTGGCAGGCTCCATACGGGCCAGTCCGTACACGAAGTCGACTTTCTTGGAACACTGAAATCACCAGACTGCGAGTCGTAATGTTGAAGACTTTGATCTGTCGTATGCCTCGCAAGGAAATCCTTATTGATACCTGTCGCATCTAGGGATGGTATTCTGCTGTTGTAAAAGTAATCTAATTCCACCCGATTTCCTCGAGGTAACCTCGGAGACGAAGTCTTTGGTCTTAGGCTTGATGAATGACTTGTCGTAGATACGTTTACAGTGTTTTCATTACTCGTAGGCAACGTTTTTGCTCTCGCCCCTGGCGGCTTTTTGTTATCGTTGTTGTTCCTTGCTGTAATCATGGTGGTCTGAGATTTGATTTTGTCATCCAAGCCAATGTTAATCGGTAAGCTAAACAGTGTTTCCTTGGTAGCTAATTTAATATCTTTGACACTTTTCCCTGGCACAATGCTGTCAATGGGTAATGAGCTTGATTTGGTCGCAATGTCATTATCGTCATCAGCATCATCATTTTTATTTTCATTATCAAAATTGATATCCCTAATAAATTCCCTACGGGTAACATCGTCTTTATCATCAGCCCTGTCAATACTGCTATCATTATTACCCTCACCACCACCACTACCAATACGTATATGCCGGTCACGAGCATAGTGGTGGTGGGGGTGGTGATTATCACATCCACTGTTACCAGTACATGTATCGTATTCTTCATGACGATCAACGGCATTTTTAACTGTAGTTCCCCCATCCGTTTGATCCCCATTGTCTCCATCGTTATCATCATCATGATTGCTACCCTCAGCATCACTGTTGGCATTAAAGTCTGCTTGCCTATCTTCTAATTCATTAGCATCACTGATATGACATTCAGCATCCCTACATTCGTTGCAATTTGAAACGTAATTTCCATCCTCGCTTTCATCTTTACTATCATCTTGAGAATCATTCTCGTTACCATTGCCTCTGACGAAGCAGCAACTCGATCTAGCAGTGTTGCAATTAAACTCTCTGCTGTTATTTTCTTGTCTCAATCGTGGTGTATTAGTGGATGATTTCGAGGGCTGTTGTAAGTAAAGTTTTTCCAATGACTGATGTTCTTTGCACATAGTACCGGCGGCTCCTATAACATAGTTAAATAGTGAAGTCTACATTGTTTTCTAAGGCACAGGACACAATAGTAAAATCATATATAATAAATTGGAGGTAACGACAAAAACATGCAAGTTCCCAGATAAAAACAGCCACGAATGTTTGTTTGGCACAGTGTGTATTTGGTTTTAGACTCAACGCTTTATAGCGAGTAAGTGACGTATGTCATGTTACCTGCTAAGTAAAGCTAAATCGGAATCTTGTTACTATTTAGAGAATTATTATCTTTTCAATCAGTTACGTGTGTTTGCCTCGTGATCATTCTTCCGAAAATCCTATAAAGTTGACGAATCGCTCTGATTGGTTAGTGAAAAGAAATCAATAAAAACGTTTCTTTTCATATCAATTTTTTTAAAGTAATGTTTCTAAACTCTTCCCATTTTAAGGCACCAATGTATGTGTGTGTTTCATTATGAGGGTAAACGTCATTACAAAGACCATAATACGCAGAAACCTTTTGAAGACGGGAACATTATATAAATCGAGGTGAACATGCTTTTAGGTTGGGAACATTTTAAATGATTACTATGAAACAATGATTGGATTCAACTGTCGTATAATACAAAGAGCTACATAATTATGCAGATCTCGACCAAGAGGCTCTCGATTGACTCGACCTGTATAATTGGTCATATCAACTCAAATTCATCCAATAACTACTAAATATTAACACGGTCAATAACTGTATTCGAAACTAAGAGGAAACCTATATGGAAATGGAAAAAAATCCATACCCTCTGCTCCGTCTTTTCTGTGATGCGTTAACACATCTACAAGACGGAAGTTTGAAATTTGCAAATTTTTCCGCGCCAGGTCCCTTTCAAAAAGAACTCGGCCATAATCGCTTTTCAACACTCGGCAGTTTGTGCAAGGCTGTGCTATCTCCGTGCACGATACTGTATTATTTATAGGTTGCTCACCCCAATCTAGTTTCTTGGGGTAAACTTGACCAGGCTGTTTATCTGAACGAGATGCTTGCTCCGTTGTAGCTTGATATCAGTGCCTGCTCTCAACTGTGTACCTCCCTGTTACGTTTTCTGCAAAAAAAGGTAATAAAACGGATCAAGACGGCTTATCAGACAGCTATACTTAAATGGAAAAATTGTTCTGAGTAAACTATGTTAGTATAGGTAATCACGTGATTTCGAGTGCAGTTTGGAATAAATAAACACGGGTAAATTTTTCTAAGACCATGCCGAGTATTTACAGGTGCTTATTTATTGCAAATTGCACGAGAAAAATCATGTGATTATATGAGTAACGGCAACTGTCTTAAAATGTTTGATATTTTGTGTCTCTGTTCAATAGAGTTACTTCGTCTGTTTTTGCCAGTGACCTTGAACTATACGCCAAACTGTTAACTGTAGAACTCCAGCGCTAGTACTTTGCGTTATTTTCATTTGTAATTACTAGACTTTTCAAATGTTGACTAGTTCTATATTTTTTCAAGAGCCATATGGCTCTTCACTTTTTTTACCTTTAAGCCCTCGACGAATGTCTGAAGTTTAAAACTGTGATATAAGCACAATTAATATCATCAAATTATTATTTCAGATTATTTTTTCGTGCTCTCCACAATGAGGACTAGTCATTTCTTTCCTTGACTCTTATCAGGAGCCCATATTTCTTTTTACAGAAATCCGGTCGCTGAACGCATTGGTTTTGACGGCTAAATGATTTGCTTGAACGTGTCTCTCTTTAAAAAGGTCCATATATAAACAACCATTGCGTCACGGTTTTAATTGTCATGTGATCGTGAACGTGCTAGAAATATTCACATAACGCCACACTAGCGTTACGATGCATAAACCTCGGGCGGGTGGGGTGGGGGGGAGGAGGTACTCATCAAAGTTTTATACAGACAGGCTCCGTTCCGAGGTCCAACCCCTTAGCCTTTTATATACCATTTTTGACAGAAAATGTACCCCTTTCAACTAACTTCCAATGTAAAATGTTACCCCTCTCACGTACCCAGTTGACAAATTTGAATCCCTTTTAACACCTGCGAAGCCATGTCTTTAAAATATGAATAAACCACAATACCACATCATTGCAGCCATAAAAAAAAGTACATCACTAGCCCTTTCAAGTTTCTTTTACAGACTGAAATGATAGATTCCCCTACCCTTTCATATACCTGAAGCCTAAATAAAGGTACACCTTCCCCTATAGACTTTAGGGAGTACCCCCCGGAGGCATGGCCTTAAATAACCTGAGATCAGCCTCTATTTTCGTTTCGCTCCGTAAATAGAATTCTGGTGTAAGAGACACAAATATGCCCTACAATAATAAACGTTCAAGCTGGTTGGTGTATATATATATCATACCTCACTAAGTCCTTTTCTCTGAACTATGTCTGAGAAATAAATGAGCATAAAAATTTCCGTAAACTTAATATATTTCAGCGTAATAGTGTAGTGAATTTATAATAAATGTGCATATATTTTTAGTATTTCAATTAAAGTCAGTCCCTGCATCTTCAGGCCCCTACAGGAACTCACGGGTCCTGTCAATGTTGCAAATTAGAGACATTTACTCTCTAAGTGGAGAGACTCGTGTGGCTCATGGCCACTTGATTGCGTAACGTTACGGCATGTTGGGAAATGCTAAAGACGATCCCTCAAAAGCCAACGTTTTATTTGTTTACAACGCAATTGCAATTTGCATAGTGTGTAACGTATCGAAGCGCATACCGTAAAATTCCGAAAATAAGCCTCGGGACTTATATTTTTCAAAGGCCCTTTTTGAGGGTCTTATTTTTGGAGGGGTTTATGGTTGGAGGGGCTTATCTACGGAGGGAAATTTGCGCTTCAAAATCGATTGGGCAAGCGTTATAGTTGGAAGTAAATTCACCGTTTTGCTTTGTTTTATTTTGTATTTGAGGGCAATTTTCCAAAAACAAGCCCCCAGGGGGCTTATATTTGGAGGGGCGATTTAACCGAGGGTTTTTTGCGTTACTGGTTTGGGGGGCTTATATTTGGAGGGGCTTATTTTCGGAATTTTACGGTATTCTATCTGTTTTGCGTAACCGCCAAAGAGAGGGCTAGCCAAAGGGAATGATAGACACAGTTTTTTGGAATTAAGACCTGTTGAAAGATTTGTAATTATGTTCACGCTTGACGAGTGCAATCGACAAAATCCGATAATCGGAAAACCAATCGATATTTCCTAATTGAATGATATCGATTTTATCCTTCAATAATATACAATGGCCGCGTTTTGAAAAGACTTGCGTGCCACCTGCGATCGGCAATACTTTAGAGGCTGCAGGGGTTTTGCCGACAAACTGTACACTTGTAAATATGTTGAGCCGCTGCAATTATCCTCACCGTTAATATAGCACAAATTTTAAGTGAAGCCAGGAGCCTATAGCTATGCACCTGGTGAGGCCGTTTCCCTGCTCCGAAACTGAAAAACCTTAAACGCCGATTGATCTATTATCAATGGCTTTGTTACAAAAGAAATCGTTGAAGATGATTGATAAAATCGATAACTATAGATTAATCAGAACTTTTTCCTCTATCGATTTCAGTGTCACGCCTTTCAAAATAGATCAAAATAAAAATAGATTAAGTCCAGAATCTGGGAAATGAAAGAAGGTACATATACAAAGACCCTCGCCTTGATTCAGGCCAGAGGAATATTTCGATCCGAAGAAATGTTTTACCTAAATTTATAGGGATTTGTATGGAGACGCAATGCTGGATGGGCGGAAACCAACAGAAACATCTCTTACCGAGTTTTTCTACAAAAGCGTGAATTTATCCCCCGAGGAACTCATAAACATTAAAGTAACACTTTCTCTAATACATTTACTGTTTAAATAGCAAAATTCCCCGAAATAAGTCACTTTTTTAACCTACATTACAGCTCTCTCGGCCGTCACGTTTCAGTTAAAATGCCGCGTCACGCAAAAGCTTAGAAATTCAAGTGTACTCTCTAACACAAAACCAAGAACCCTTTCGAAGCGAAAATTTGTATGAACATTAGTTTTCACCTGGTCTAATACATCACGAAAGTAAAATCTCAGTAGGATCGATAGTTTTAGTGACGTCATGTGAAACCCAACAATTGGTTTTTAAAAGGCTCCTGTCAATAGGTTATATCGATTGTTATCGAATGTTACCAGATATCGACTTTTTCCTTTTTTTTCCTTTTTAAAGTTGAGGCGGAAAGAGGGAATTGAGGGACAACCCTTATTTTAACCCAACTTTGTTCCAGTTTTTTTTGTTCTTTCTCCTGTACCTCCTCGTACAGGGTGGTTAAGACTAAAAAGGAAATTGAACAGTAAAATAGAACCAACAACGAGAAGTCCAAAGACTACTGCAAAGCTGATTTAAAACAACGCGTTTTGTTTTTTATAACAGTATTTTGGCTGGCCATACAAGCCTTCTTCAGGTTTGCAGATGTTACTGAACTTATGTAGCAATCACAATATTATATAGATGGAGAATGTCGCAATAAAAGGGAGAGGCGGAAATGACGTACAACATAAAAACTGGAAAGGAAGAATACTAAGGATATTGTAATTCGTCATGACGGTTTAGGCTATATGAGGTTCAAGAGTCATGGCCTTATCTATCAAATGCGACTCCCTGGCCTTACGAACTGAGTCACGTGAAGAATGAATTTTCTCTAGTGGGATTAACTGCATGTCAGTACACTCTTTTTTTTTTTATAAGGATATATTTTATAAGAATATCGAGGCTGAAATTTGCGAAATTTTAAGAATATTTTAAGAATAAAGCCGAGGCTGAGATTTTGAAAAGGATAGATATAATTTTGTGTGTTGAAACATCTGTAAATACAATACAATTTTATGTTTTTAACTTAACCGTATAAAATTATTCCTTTCTCTGAACGGCGAAACTAGCCAACAAAACGAAAAAACCAGGACTAGCTATAGCAAAATGTTCAACGCTAATGACAGTTCGATGAACGGTATACATGTAATACATATGTACAGTATTCAGCACAGATCTAGATACCAAACACTTGTAATTGATACCCCAATAAATTCTAAATCGGAAATGTCATAAGCTATAATTTAAGAATAATACAAGAATATTTTCAGCCTAAAATCGGCAGAAAAATAAGAATATTCAGCCTGGGCCGGAAAACAACATTCTTATATAAAAAAAAAGAGTGTATGAGAATGGTTAGAGTGAGACAGAAAGCGTTCAGAAACAGTAGTGGGTTTCGATTTAATGTTAGTAAAATAGACATTACTGAGAAGGTAACCACAGAATGGAATGGTAGTTAAGTCCGTCGAGGTGTTTCTAGTTTCGCCGCCGTAACACTGACGTCACTCGCGCGAGTATTCTGTGCCGTTGGAATCTATCGTCGTACATTCTTTTCAGTCGTCTTAGTTAACGTGAGCCTTCAAGAGAGCTAGAGCTTAGAATCTTACAGAAAACTGAGTAACGTGACACAAGAGGCAAATAATCAGACCTAGTAAAATGACACTATCCAGTTTTAAAACACTCACAACACGAGAATCGAAAGGAAACAGAAGGTATTTGCACGCAGGCCTTAAAACGATCTGTGCACAAGTACATGGAAGGGATATATCTATTTGGTAGTACTCTCCAGTTTTCTAGATTTTGAGAAACGGAGGCCATGTCACAGTACTAGTGGCACAAGGACTATAAACGGCCGAAGAAGCTCGTTACAGTACATGTATGTAGGTGATCATTTTTGGAGTCGATTTGTAACGTGGCTCTTACTACACGGAATTCGGCTTAGTTTTGACTGTACTCACGTGCTGGACTGACGTTAATTCAATGCGCGTATTTGGGTGGGAATCCCCTTTCGACGCCTTTTTCTCTGTGGCCCTTTCACCAATCTCTTAATGGCTGGAGAATGGTGTAATGTCCCTTTACTTAGGCTCTGTGGACTGAACGACAAAGCAATAAAGCTTCAAAAATGTTTGGTCCTATTATATTTCAGTGTCCGGTACTACAAACGTGACATTGCGAAACGTTTGCGTAACAGATTAAAGGGCAAATTTGACGTCAATTGATTTGTCTATTAGGATTGTGAACTATAACTGTTATTTTCGACGTAGTTACACAATAGACTGATGATATGATGTGTTAGTTAAGATCCTTTACGCCTAACCGATGAAAAATTAGGCAAAAAGGACAAGGAACGGTAGCAGACATGACCGCCTTCACTATATTTCAGCGAGAATGTGCGTGTGATGTCACGCATCCAAAGTGGTCACGTTCACAAGGTCACGTTGTCATCTGCAAATCGTGTTGACAATCACGAAGTGCTTATCGAGGCACATTTCAGGAATTTTTGTATGTTACTCGCTTTCGATTTGACTGTTCCTTCAGAGTTATAAGACTGCAGACAGTCCAAATTCCCAATATATCGAGTTCTCTATCGAGGTTTTCAGTCTAAGTCCGGCTGCAACGCAGGGTATATACACAATCGCGAGATATTACATCATTTCAGTTAAATGCAGTCAGCACAAAACGTATTTGAAGTCTTTGACAAAAAAGAGTGCTTGCGAAGACATGGATTCCGTCAAAGACCTAGTGGTCGCGCTCTCCAAGCTGCAGTGTGATGCGGTAAATATGTATCGATGACGTAAAATGTAAGAAACCATTGCCGAGGAGGAAGTGTGAAAAGCTGTAGATGTAATAAATGCACGGAAACGGCGAAGCTTACAGTTGGGATGATTTATAGCTGGTTCTCCTGCTTTCCTCGGTTAGCGCAACAGAAGCATTCATACAAGAGAATAGGAAGCTGTCACCAGAAAATATTTCGCGTGTCGTGAAACGAAGTCTTCGTATTGTGTATTTTGAAAGTGCCAACCACATCAAAAAGGACGTGAAATATGGGGCGCTTTCCATTTAGTTAAAATTTCCGGAATTTCCGGTTCGGCGGTAAATGGAACACGTTTCGTCGGTTCGTCCCACTGGAAAATTCCCAGAAAAAGTGGAAAATCTAAAAAGGTGGTCCCGTTTTCCCGGTTGGAATTTCCGAACGGAATGTCGTGTTCCATTTACGTTTCTCGTAGTTTGTGCCAGTTCCAGGTCCACGGTCGGACACCGCCACGTACCGGTGTTTACGACCAAATGGAACAACTTTTTACCGATCGGAAATTCCACTTTTGCTACCACCGAAATTTCCGGGTTTTTTTCCTAAATGGAAAGCGCCCATGGTCAACGGTGATTGGGTTGGATTTGGTAGGTACTTTATATATGATTCCTATAGTGTACCGCGGTATACTATAGGAATCATATATGAAGTACCTATCTCGGATACCCTTGTACCCTAGAAGAAAGGGGCCTGCGACATCTGGCGTTAGCTCGGACCAATCCTCGGGCTCCTTGGTCAGCTGAAGGTCCCATGTGTGTTAAAAACTAGTGTATCGCATCTATGAACATGGGACGGTTTCGACCAAATAAAGGTTACATTGTTTTGTGATAAACACTGATAAAGCTGAATTACTCCCACTGAAGTGGTCTTTTGTCTTTTCTGGTCAATTCTCGATCTCCGTCTCTGGTTCATTTCTCGAAGAAGGACGTGGAAAGACTGCTTGGAAATACGCTCTGTTTTGATTCAGAACTCACTAGGCATTCGTTGAGTCTTGGCACTCGAGCGTTCTCTTCGAATCCTGAGACGCGGACGCTGAGAGCGAAAGGTATTCTCCCAAACTCCTGACGCGATTAATTAAGGATTAAGGATTGCCAATTATTAAAACCTCGTTGTTTCATTTTCCTCTTATTGTATTTCTTTTTTCTTTTCTTTTTTTTTTTGCCTCAGTCAAAGTTGCTTCCAAAAGTCATACCAACTCGCCACTACGCGAGTCAGTCGACTGAGCGTACACGCGATATGAACATGATGTGAACAAGCATGATTCGAAAAAAGGCACTGCACTGAGAGCCAAGTGAAATAACAAGCAAAACCCAAAACTAATGGTTTAAGTTCAGTCAAGAGAGGTGCCTTGTGTAACAGTAGTCAAAATGTTAACTAGTGCTTATCAGATATTTTAAAGTAATGGCGGAAACACTTGTTTTCAAGACTGACCAAGACTTTTAAGAAAGAATACGTGATAGCTGACTGGTAACACAATAAATTGCTTGTCAACATTGAACTATAGCACCAGAATAATTGTCTCGCAAAGAACACTGTCAAAGATAAGTTGAACATTTTAACCTGCCCATATTTGTTAGTTTGTTAGTTAACCATTTCATGAAGTCGTTTTTTCCCTTTCTTTGATGACGTAAGTCGATTATTTAGCGTTTTTCGGATCTTTCTTAATAACTTTTTCGTTCAAAATGATATAGATTTCACCTTTAATTCTTTCTCATACCTTTGTTTAGTACAGTGTGCCGGCAGTTGATCGTTTGTATTTTATTAATATATTAAGTCCGCTACAGATTTCGAGATTGAGAGAGTTTCGGCTATTGTGCTATGAATTGTGCGTGAATTATTTGTAGGTCATTTTAACCGTAGTGCTTTACTGTAGTTTTGCTATCAAACGAAAGAAATGGATGCCTATTCCTGACTGTTCACTTGAGTTAAAAATAATTTGTTCTCGTTTCACTGCAGAGGCGGATTAGAGAACAAATATTATCTAACCACTGTTTAGATGTACGAATCTGGCGATAGCCCCGTTTGTCGAGCACATGCAGTGGTGCGCTGAACAAATTTTTTCTGATAACACCTATATACATGATATACATGATTTTACTCAAAAGCAAACCATTTTGTCGGTAAAAATTCACTCACCCTTTTTGTTTCTGTAAAGCAATGTAGTCTTGCAACTCAAGGCCATCCTTTTATAACTTAGTTAACAGTCGGTTTAAAATCCATAGAGTTAAAAGTTCGGGCAAGGTTTTAAGCTTAGTTTAAATGTCACACAGCGGAGCGACTGTTTTGATTGGACAATACAAATTTCTCAGAATCTTAAGCGTTTTCCAGGAATTATCTTTAACTAATGATCGACTACTTGGCGCCATTTTTTGGTCTGGTGCTCATCGGCTGAAGAACTTGAAGACGTTAACGACTGGTGACAAATAGTCGTTATACAACGAGATGTCTTTAAAAAACCTATGTCTAAATACAAAGGTCTTATGATACGGTGTACAGATCGACAATCTCGTTCTTTCTAAGGGAAAAGCGCAAGGAATGAGGTTGATTCTTGATTCCAGGCCCTCTATCCGTTTGCATGGAAGTTAGTGATGATAACATTCGCCCCTGCAAAATCTGCGGGGATGCCAGATTTATCACTGCAAGATCCGTTCAATCAATACTGAATACTTGCTCGTTTTTAGGCCTCCTTGTGCTTTCGTAATACTGCTTAATTGTTTTAAAAATCAGGGTTGATCAGGATTATTCCATTTCGTTACCAAGGCCCTGGAAGGCGCGAAAAAGAGTAAAGATTAAATAATATTTCCCTTAATTCCGTTCATTTATTCCCTGTACACAGCTGGCAGAATTTATCGCGCTCGACTGCTTTATTCACTACAATCAATGGTGCTTCTTTGCTTGTTTGTTAAGGCTTTTAGGTTGTGGGAAGAACTGGGATGAGCTTTGCCACCAACAGCTATGAATTCTCGCGTACGTGGTGTTGGTGTGGGCATGTACGCCCCTGAAAAGCACCAGTCCATTCTGATTCCGCTTGCTATGCAACTATTGTATCAATTTCTATGATTTGGTCACTGTACTACATGATTAGGCAGAGTTACAGTTGCCTTTAATGAACACTTTGTGATTGTAATTTGCCTAAGTATTTTTCTTACGGGAGATGCCTTATGACTCCAAAGATGACGTCATGGAGGAGGGCGTGTTAAGCCAAGAGACTATAGGCGGGCTTAGTATTGCATGCAGATCCCAAATTTCCTTCAAACTAGTACCATCAGTACCACACGAAGGTTTGATGGCGAATTTATGTCATTCGAATGATCACACCGGCATTTCCGACAACCTAGAACTGGTGGAATAAACTATTTCAGCCAAGGTAGCCATGGCCAGTAGTGAAGTGTTAGAGGCTTTTCCTTGAACCTTATCCCCAATTTTGATCTCGACAAAAAAACCTTTTCCCGCCGACTTTTGAGTATCTACCATTCATGTGCTTCTGTCGGTCTCGCTGTGACACTACCCAGAATCCTTCCGTGAATTTTGAATCGGCCAAATTGTTATTTTTGTCAGGAATGCAATACCTTTTTCTCAGGAATGCAATACCCTCAGATCTGCAATCAAGAGATTATAAAAGCCATCAAAGCCGTGAAAGACAGACATTAAGCAACGCTGGTAAGTAGTACTTCTGCAAATAGCGGAATTTTATATTCGGGCAAAACTGATAAAACCGCTAATAACCAATCTGAAACTACGTAACCTAACTCTAACTGAACTATATTATGTAGTTAGAATGAATGTTTTTTTCCACAGAGCGCTTAACAAAAGCAGGACCGGAAAGTCACCCGGCTTTGGTCAGGTCGATCAGCAATTAATCTTTTGTGAAAGAATTCAGGATCTCCCGATCTTCATCAGTAAGTTTTTAGCCTTTAGTCATGTATAAATATTCCTCTTCCGGCTTCAGATGACAACAAACTTGTATTTTAGTGTTATCTGTTAAAATGGATAAAAGTAGCCGTCCTTGAAGCATCCGTGCGTATAATTCCATCAGGGGCACCCAACGACCGGTTTCTGTAAAGTATCTGTTCGGAGAGGCAATTATTGCCTAGAATTTTCTAATAATTGAGGACGACTCAAAATTTCTAGATGACAGTTCCATTCATGTACTATTTTCGAAACTTATCTAATAAATTTCCTACGATTTTCTGAAGAATAATTTGTCATATTTCAGTTCCCTAATTAAGATATTTTTCTTTGAAAAAGGAAATCTAAAATTTTCGGATTCAAAAATGTGGTGGAAAGAGGAATAAGAAAAATTCTCACTTTCGTAATACGTTTAATAAGTCCATTTCAGGAATATTCTTCGCTTGCTGTTGTCAGATTGAGTTTTTCGTAAGTGGTCGTGTTTGTCATGGTTCATTAGTCCCGTTGAAGTTTCCGTTTGGGTTAGTTAACCAGCGTTTTAGTATTTCATTTCATGGTTCAGTGTAGCTTTTTGCCAATCGCAACCATGTAGTTTCAGTAATAACAAAACAGTACCCACACCGAGTTTCCCTTGTTTTTATTCCCACGGTCAGCTAACCCAAACATGTCCAGCTTTGGCTACAAAAACCGCTACTATTTGACTGGTAAGTTAGGATTGAGTAGAGAAGAAGAGTAAGAAGATTAAGATTAAGATTGTTAGCAGAAGTCACGTCCCAGAAGAATAAAGACCAAGATCTAAATTCATCACCAGAGAGATTTCTGGTACTTCATGGTGTAGCGAGCGAGTTCCTCGAACACACCCATACCACTTCAAATCCATGCACAAAAAATACTTACTGATCCCATCAAGGGCAATAGAACTACACTAACCCCCAGGAGCAACTATTAACCAACTGAAAACAAATTTCGGGTTAATTTGCAATTGCTTAAATTGAAATTACCACTGTGGCGATCATATCTTCATTTAAATTTGTATTTCCGCAATTCATATCATCTTCATTCTTTCAACCAACTAATTTTGTGAAGCATTTTGAAGGTTATTTTTTTTATCTGTCTTATCTTCAAGTCCTTAGTCAGGATTTTTTTTCCGCATGCGTGTTTTTCCTGTTTTGATTCTACTTGTGCTTGAAATTATGCTTAGCCTGCCAATTTAGGCCTGTTTCAAACGTCGTGCTACTGCCGTGCCGAACTCAATTGCTCGAATTAAATTCGACTTTAGCACGGCAGTAACGCGACGTTTGAAACCAAGTCGTGCTACTGCCGTGTAGCCTGCGCGCAGACGAAATTAAACTCTGGTTAACTAATCAGAGTTTAGTTATCGTCTGCACGCAGGCTACTGCCGTGTAGCACGGCAAGCCTTGCGCGCTACTGCCGTGCCGGACTCAATTCATAAGTTATAAATACATTAGAATACATTTAAAAGTTTGCCAAACCGTTTCTTTATTTTTGTGTTTTGTTTTCGGCAACAGCCGTTCTATTCGACTGAATTAAATTCTACGTCTGAAACCAAGTCGTGCTAATGTCGTGCTGCAGTCGAGCTACAGTCGAGCCAGCTTAGCACGGCAGTAGCACGACGTTTGAAACAGGCCTTACTTTCCATTTTGAACATTCCTATTTTGTCCATGAGATAAGACTTACACAGCAACAGGTGATCGGCGTTTTTGGGAGGCCTCTGTCGTTGAGTCCTGTTGAAGTTTCTGTTTGGAATTTGTTAACCATGAAGCGTTTCTGGTTTTTCATTGTTTTGAAGCTTATTGCCGATTGCAGCCGTGTAGGCTTAGTGATACCAAAACATTACCCACACCAGGACTGCCTTGTTTTTATTCTCACGGTCGGCTTACCCAAACATTTCCAGCTATTTAACAGCTACTATTCGGCCATTGTTATTTGGTAAGGAGATAAGAAAGAATTTATTTGTAGTTGCTAGGAGTCTAGCTAGTATACAATAAGTGAGTAGCACGAGCAAGCTGTTAAAAAAGAAGAAAGAGGCAAATAAGAAGGATTCTGACTTAACCTTCGATCCGCTGAGCGAGCGAGTAGCTCGAACAACGTATCCCGAACACTAAAGTGACCCTACATGTACACTCACTTTGCGTTGACTAAAATTTGTTGGTTTCACCGTACATATCTAATGTATCTGAAGTGACTCAAATGTACGTTAAAATACTGATTTGGGAAAGTACAGTTATGTAGTCGTTTACAGTTTCCTATTGGTTGGTTGTACTCAAACATGATTGGTCGTTGCACCAAGAGAGAATGAGCTAGATCATTCTCTCTTGGTTGCACTTATTAATACTTTAGTAAACTTTGTCAGATCAAACTATGCTTCTACTCCGACTTACCTCAAATCTCACCATTACTTAGTGTATGTGTCAAGAGAGAATGAGCTAGATCATTCTCTCTTGTATGTGTTTAACCGTTGAACTTGAATTCGAGAAAGCATGAAATAAATGCAATTTATGCTATGAAATGCGGAAAATCACGTTTACAAATTGATGCTAATTAGGGGATAATAGCAATTCAAACCTCTTCTAAGCGTCAGCGGTCGGCGTTAGTTACGTGAAGAATAAGCAAAATTCCTTTAAATCCAGCCAGACACCTGAAGAGGAATATTTGAAATAGATATTAATCTTTTTAACTTTTCGCATTTGTCTGAAATTTGGCACAGATTCTCATCGTTCTTGTGTCAAATAGGCTGGGGTAAGGTTCCGGTACCTACTCAGGTCTGAAAAAATAAGGTGCGAAATTTCCCGAGAGGTGCCCTATGCCTTCAAAAATGATATCAACGAGGTGGGCTTGTTGGGACAAGTGACCAGGCAGGCACAAATCCAATATTGCTAATCTTAAACTTCGTTCAAACTGGTAACACCATCAGTAACAAATGAAAAAAGCTGGCAAAAAGTTGTCATTCGAATTATCACACCGGCATTTCAGAGAACCAAGAACTGATTCGTGGAATTAATGATTTCAACAAGGCCATCAGACCAAATTACACTCCACTCAGTTCAATTACCATTATTTATGCTCACATCTAAAAGTTTTAAAGGGCATCATTGATAGGTCCAAAAGTTAGCATCGCTATTAAGAGTGCAATAAACAGCCTCACAGCAAAGACCTGCTCAGTAGCTTTCACTAGTATTATAACACCATAGGACTTCACCCACGGGCTCGAAAGTTAGAACCACCTTGTACTAGGCTTTTGTACATCATGCTTTTGCTTCCTCACTAAAATGCTCCACCTTAATGCTCCATTTTTCCCACTAAAATGCTCGGTCTCCCCAAAAAAGTCACTAAAATGCTCGGATAATGCTCATGATACAAACGGTTTTTTAAATTAATTTCAAAGTTTACACTTACAAAAACGTGCAAGTGTTGCAAGTAACAACGACAACGTGTACAAGTTCATAAATACAGCCAAAAAAACAGCTGTATTAGGTTTTTTATGAGTTTTGAGTTTTAGTCTTCATTTTCTAAGAAAACGCAGGAGCTCATGGGGCATTGGCTCCTGAAAAAAGTTAATTTCTATTTTATTTTCTCGGAAAAATTAATTTTCCGGGGAAAATGCCACTAAAATGCTCGAATAATGCTCAATGCTTTTGCCTCACTAAAATGCTCGAAAAAATGCTAGCATAATGTACAAAAGCCCACCTTGCACACAGGGCAGCAAGGCTATGAACCGATTTTCTGGGTTTAAACCATCTTTATTTTTTCTACATGTAATACAGATAAGTGAATTAATTGTTACTGTTCGAGTAGAGAGAAGCGACGACCGGAAATACGCCTGTGTCCGCAGGCTAGGCTGAATAAAGTTGTCGCCAAAACTGCTTTAGATATACCTTACCCTGCGAGCAGTGGTTTCTCCAGGCCGGACACTGCGATACGCTTCTCTTTCTTCGTACCGTAGCGTCTGGCCTGGAGAAACCACTGCCCGTAAGGTAGAGATGTCTTAACCTTGAGTTCTTATAAAAGTGGGCAAAAATATATTTCACTGCATAAAAATTTCAAACTATTTTCAACATCAATTATATTTACTGTAATAAATACTGAAATATATTTGTAAATTTGAACTTGATAAGATACCCTAGTATTATATTCCAAATAGTTTGAACTAAAACCTAGAGCCACAAAGTAATAATTAAGCGAGATAATCATTCGTTTTAGTATGGCTTTTGCCTACCTTCAACCAATGAAACCAAAGTTGAAAAACCGCAACGTACTAAAAACAATAAAGGGCGTAAGTGTTTCCACAAAACTATAACTTATCGATTCCTGTTTTATCTATTTTTATTTTTTTGTTGTTTGTTCCCCGAACTATGCTCCTTGCTTAAATTAATAGTCATGGCTTTGCTGAAGGCGGACGGCGTTGTTTGGTTAGCTTTGACTTGTAACTTTGCAGTAAACAACTATTTATTTTAGGTTAAAGTACTGATAATGGCTGTATAACTTTGACACTGTTTGAAACTTTTTATCTATTTTGCTTTTGCTAAAGAAAACCGAACTTTTAACAGACATTGTTCTGAAAACAAATGAACTGTCTTCTTATTTTGACTCTTAATCGTACAATTCGCATCTTTGGCGACCGCAGTAACAGAAATCTTTGAAAATCCGGGCTTTTCCTGAACGTTTACTGATTCTTTGGTTCTTCATCTTTACTGTGAGTCTTGGCTAAACAAAGGGTGGCGGCATATCGGACAGTTTCGTCTGAAACACAGAAAAGCAAACAAATTAAAATTATCTGTAACACTTCGGTCTTGAGCTTGACGTGAAAGGGGTTGCAGAGACCCACCTCTTTGTAAGTCCAAAAAAGAAAGTTGAAGAAACTCCGTGCTGAAATAGTGTCTGTCTGTCTGTCTGTCTGTCTGTTAGCTTACAGATAGTAGGGACGTCACGAAAATGAGACTGACAAGCTAAGGGAAAATAAGACGCGCGCGATCTGGAGCCCACTCTCTCCAGCCCCCGCGCATTTTTTGCATCACTTTTTACTGCACTGTGTTGGATCCTGGAACAGGCTATCTGTCTGTCTGTCTTTTTGGAAATAGTGGGGGAAGGCTAAATCCACCCAACCCCTCCCACCCCACGGCTCTGCCTTGCCAGGGCTGCACAGTGGTAAAACACTGGTAAGCCGCCAGAGGAAATTGAGTTTCGGTGCACTCCCTTCTATTGATCCTTGGCGTTTTTTCTTGGTACTCCGTATCATCTCATCTACCATCCTCTCAAAAACAACATTTCCAAATTCCATTTCGACGAGAAATGGCCGACAAAGCACCATTATGTAGATATTCTATACATCATTACAGTAACTATTTATTATTTGTTATGAAATAACTGAGATAGTACGCGCGATCTGATTGGTCAAAAACCTATGGTTTATTATACCGGTAAACCCATAGAAAAAGGCATCCGGACCACGAGCCATAAACAAAATCGGCTATTGATCTGCAAACAATGATTTTAGAAAGGAGAAAAAACAGAACAAGTTACTTACCCAGCCCTTCTTAATAGTAAAAAGCGTTGATTTCCACATTTTATTACTGAGCGTCACAATTCCCTACTGCCATAGCTCTAAAAGTTATAAAGTTCAAAGCTGGAAAGCAATTTACATTTCACGACCATGCCAAATCGCAGAGAAAGACAACAGCTCTGTGAAGTTCTGGTGTAGAATTGTCTCTAGGAAAACTTAGCCATGTACCAACAAAACGGATAGTTTTAGCATTCTTGATTTATTTTATGTCAAAATTAAATTGAATGAAAGAAATTGGTCCAAAAAGGGATATCTGATCAAGTTGTGGTACAAAATCGGCCGCTGCAGGTTGTAAACAAGCTGTAAACGATGATGAAAAGATGTCAGAGTTTCTCGCTGGTTTTTTTCCAACATTTACACAAATTATTCGGTAATATTGATGCCATACTTCAAACCACCTGACTTCACAAATCGACAAATATTAACGCCAATATGTGGCTACAGCAGAGGAACCTTCCTCCAAATTTAGAGCTACCACTGAGATATTTCCATCGGTCGCCGTACGTACATAAGTTGCATGCCACAACTTCGCAAATGCAGCCACGTCGTTACCGCAGCAGTCGTGTTCTCCTACCCTGCGAGCAGAGGCTATATTTTCGCGGTATGAGCTGGCGAGCTACTTTTCGCACGCCAGCTCATACAACGAAAATGTAGCCTCTGCTCGCAGGGTAGTGTTCTCCCAACATCCCGCGTGGGTTATCACGCCGGTAAACACACAGAAAGTGTGGTCTATTGCTTAATTTATCTACTGCAGTTGGCCACTTACACTCCGTTCTGAATCATGGCAATGGCACACTCTTTATGGACCTTGTGGGAGCATGGCAGGATCTGACAACCGCTGAACGCATCCTGTGAAGAATACACAAAGTTGATTTAATTACAACGTAAACATGCGTGGTCCCGTTTCACCTAGCTTGCTCTCAATGAACAAAACGCACGTACTATAAATATGGCAGCACACTCTTCTTTGCTACTGTGCAAACTGGGTTTGTCAAAACTATCTGTTAGAAGCGTATGAAACTTTGGTGCCTCAGAAAGAAAGGTTTTATTTGTAGTTGAAATTAAGCAGTCAGGGGCGTAGGCAGCCCGTAGACCTGTAGACCCGCGCCTACAAATTTTTGGTTTGATCACCTTACCGCTTGTAATAATTAGTTATGCGTTGCTAGGGTGAGCTAAGAAGCTTAAGAGCTCAAAGTGTTGGTGAGGTCGGTGTGTACTAGCCATGCGTGCAATTTTCAGGATATGTGGAAATGAAATTCAGCCAGGCCTAAAACTGGTCAGAAAGTCGGCTACGCCCCTGGCGGTCAAAATATGATACTAATAATAATGTTAATACATTGTGTAAGTGTGTAAATGTTCCCCGTTATTAGTATCCCGCCCATTTCTCCGTCCCCGAGGGACAAGTGAAAAATCTAAAGCTTGATACAGTGGAACATCACTGATGTTCCACCATACCAAACAAAACACGACTCAGTCCCCAGAGGTCATTTATTTTCGACTCCCTTACCAACTTCATGCAAGTTTATCAACACTGCAAGCTTGACTATTCGACAGATACACAACTGTCGCGGATGTAGTAATCAAGTCTTCATGCCATCTTATCAGTTCGTTTTCCTTGGCAAATAGTCACTCTATACGTACCTCTAAGCATATACAACACTCGTCGTGTCCGGAATCGGGCCTGCACTTATGTTTTCCTTCAAGTCGTTTGTCCAGACAAACGTTGCAAACATCACAGTGAAACGATTTGTCCTTGTGGATACTTTTCAAGACAAAAAACAAAACAAGCGTCTGAAAGATTGATGGATTTTGTTCAGCTTTAAGTAAATGAAACTCTTACAGAGCCAATAATCCTTATGTTTTTAATTCGTCCTAACGTTTTCTCCTGCAGAAAAGCATTAATTTTCAATGCCATCATATCAAATTTGCATTCGCATGTCCTCATTATCCACCTGACTCAGTGAAGTCGTATCTAGACTTAGTTTTTTGAAACGTTCACCCAGACGATTGCAGTTTTAAATACCTATCAACAACACAATACCAAAGCTAGTACGTTTATTTTAAAATGCAATCACGTCCTTCGGTTTTTCAGACCATCAACCAACGCCTCTATAAAACTAACCGCAACCAAGAAGAAAAACTGAATTTGTCTTAACCTGTCCCTTGTGTCCTCTGAATATAGTCTGGGTACGTTAAGAAGAGATGGCAAATTTTGTGTTCTTTCTGAATCGACGTCTAAAGGAGGGAGCTAAAGGAATAGTTTAAAAATGGTTATAACTGAATAATTATCTACTCCTTATCCGCAATAACTTACCGGCAAATACCACATTTATCGCAGTGAAATGGGTTCTTTTCCACCCCGGTAAAATGTTTGCATATGAAACAGAAATACGCTGACATTTGTTCGCCGCAGCTGCTGCAATGCTGACTTCCCTCATTGATCTAAATTTTACAAATGAAGAGAGAGAGACAGAAAAGGAGCAGTTAGTTTTGACAAGTCCTAAAATAACTTGAAGTAGAGTATGAAACACTGTGAGCTGTACACTAAGTGATGAAAAATCGGAGAGGGGAGTGGGGCGGCTGTACACACGTTTCCGACCATTGTTTTCTTTTTCGCCTCGCAATTTGTCTAACTCCTACAGAAAAAAAGTTGCCGCTTAATTTCATAAAAGAAAGAAAAATGATAGTGGCTATACTCATTAAAGAGATAAATGAAGAATTACCTCTGGCGAATTCCAACCTTACAGCAAAAGCCGCTATTTTTCTTGTGCGCGATAATCAAGCGTGTATTTATGCGCAGCAAGAATACGCAAAGCAATTGATAGGAATAACCCTAAGAACGAACAAAGCCACTCACCTCTTCGTCGTGTCCACAGATGCCACACTTGACATGCGTCGCATTATTCGCCTTCCTGTCATCAGTATCACACGCCCCCGATGTATTGTGACAGCGGTGACACGGGTAGAATATTCCACAGCAAGGAAACTTTACAAGGCAACGCCGTTGATAATGCTCGCACTGCCATCGCGGGCTCTCTTGGACAGGCGCCTGTTCTCCCCCAAACCACCTTTTATCCCTGTCTTCATTTTCTGTCTGGTCTCCCCTTTCTTTTTCTTGTCTTTCCCTCATTTCTCTTTCTTGTTTTTCCCTCATTTCTCTTTCTTGTCTTTCCCTTATTTCTCTATCTTGTCTTTCTCTTTCTTCTCTCTCTCTCCTTTCTCTTTCTCTCATTTCTTTTGCCTCTCTTTCTCTTTGTTCTCGCATCTCTCTTTTTTTTCGCGCAGCCTCACGTTGCGTTTTTGCTCTTTCTTCTCGTTCTTTCATAACCCTTGCAACTACTGCGCATGCCTCCGCCACTTTGCGTTCCAGTGCAGCAAGTGAAGGATCATCCGGGAACTCCGGTGATGATGCCTTAGTACCAGATCTCTGCTCTTCTCTTCTTGAAGCAGATGAAATGATCGGACAAACATTTTCTTGGTTTTCTGTAAAGGAATTGGGTATAGAAGGCTCCATGAAACATTCTTGCCCGTTTTCAGGCAACACAGTGGATTGGTAGCTGTATGAAGGTAGACTTTGAGATGTTATGCTCGCAGTAGGCTGCAACACGGTGACTGGTGTAGTGACGCTGGGACATACCACGGGCGCATGCGATTTTACTGTAGGCAACCTTGATACAGGTGGCCTATCGCGCACAGGAAGCCCACCACAAATAAAACTATTTACATGCGACCCATAAGAATTATTGGCCGAGTAACGCAACTTGGATTCATAAGCGCTTGCTATTGTAGCATGTGTCTTAAATACGCTACCAGATGTGGTGTCATTTGTGGCTGGAGGGCTATCGGACATTCTGAGACCTGTAAACGCCTCAGCGCCACTTGCAAACCATGGATCAATATGATTAAATGACTTTTGTTCTTGTGGATTAAAATTTGAACTATTCATCTCTCTCGAAGGTTGATTCCGAAACTGCCAGCTACTTTGCCCTCCAGTTTGACTACGGACGGCGGAAGGGTGAAGTCCACTCGAGTGACGCCATCGATGTCCAGTTTCAGAAGCGTCAGGAGGTGGCAGACTCCACATGGGCCATTCCGCACGCGGAGTAAGAAGATTAGAATCACCAGTATGTGAGGCATGCTGTAGACTTTGATCTGTCGTATGCCGCGCAAGGAATTTTTGATTTATCCCTGTCGCCTCTAGAGATGGTATTCTAGTGTTGTAAAGGTTATCTATAAATTCTGCCTCATTTACCCAAGGTCTTAGTCCCTGTGGATAACTTGTCGTAGGAAACTGAGATCTAAGTCTGTCGTCCAAGCCAGTGTGAACTGGTAGGGTAAAATTTGTTTCCTTGGTAGCTAGTTTAATACTTTTCCCTGGAACAATGCTGTCGATAAGTAACGTGCTTGATTTGGTCACAGTGTAATCAACATCATCAGCATCATCATTTTTATCTTCATTATCAAAATTGCTATCCCTGATAAATTTTCCATGGATACCATCGTCTTTAACATCAGCTCTGTCACCACCTGCTCTCATTATTACCATCACCAACCCCACCATCACTATGTTCATCACGAGCACAATGGCGATGGCGATGGTTGTCATATCCTCTGTAGCCATTATCACCATCTTCATCACTATCATCGTCATTTTCAACAGTAGAGCCAACACTGGCTCCGTCAGTATCATCATCATGGTCAGCATTACCGTTGCCTATGTTAGCGTCATCATTGCCATCAACATCGTGCCCGTGCCTATCGCCTAGTTCATTAGCACCACCAGTTTGACATTCAGCATTCTTACTGCTGTCGCAATTCAGGATGCAGTATCCATCGTTGTTTTCACTTCCGTTAATTTCGCCGACAGCATCATCACTGTTACCGTTGTCTTCATCAAAGGAAGAATCTGCATGTGTAACATTATCTACAAGAACTCTGCTTGTGTGACTTTTTCTGTAACTTTTATCTTCTTCGCGTCCGTCATTATCTTCATAACCATTCTTGAAGCAACCATCTCCTTTAAGACTGAATTGCTTTGTATGCCCATTAACAAGAGGTGGAGATGTAGCGTCTTTATTACTGTAAGATTTGCTGTTGTAATTTTGTTGTCGCAGGTGGGGCTTATTTCTGCATAATTTCGAGGACCTCTGTAAGTGATATTGTTCCGATATGTCATGTTCATTACCCATTTTGTCTTGTCTGGTTGAATTACTGGCAGCCCCTGTAAGGAGGAGAAATAATTGAGGTTTAGCAGGCAATAACCGCTAGAAAAGCAGCCGAAATAAATTAAACCAGCGAATGACGTAAACCGCCGGCCGACTTAAACGAAGCAGCAAGTGAATACACTTCACATGTTTCACATGCAGTTTAAGATCAATATCAAAACTGCGGTGTGAACTTGCACGAGTTCACTATGGTATATAAGCTCATCTACGGATCAATCCGGATTGTCTCGGCAGGCGGCAACCACATGACTCCAGTAGTCCCGGTCTTCGGCAGCGTGTTGTATTTCTCGCTCCTTCAGTGCTATGGAGCCTCCCGCAAAGACCCTTAACGTGTATTGCAAAAACAAAAGTTTCTGCCCGCCAACACTTCGTCTCCCTTCAGATGGTACATACTATGGTACATGCATCTGGTTCACTGGCTACCAGAATGCCTCCTTTTCTTGACACGAATATTTCCAGAAATAGATAGAACGACATGGATTATGACTGCGTATACTGTTACTGAAAATGTAATTTCCTGGACACTATAACTGAACGGTTAAATTGTAATATTTGTATCAAAATGCACTAGCGACTTCCTGCCCGTCACAAAAACAGTTACAAACGAGATGGATGAAATGCTTTTGCTCAAGCGATGTAACAATGAGCAGCCAGACAAGGCATTGGAGCTAGCCTTCCCACGATTCACTGCTTTTCGGCTAAGAAATTAAAAGCAAGACCACTCTTTAGTTAAAGGACGAATGTTGGCAAATGTTATCCGAGGACTACGCATAAAAATATCCTAATTTTAGCCCTTTCAGTTGCGTTCAAACGCCAATAATCAAAAAACCCTTTGACAGTTTCTAAAATTATGATGCAATACTGTGTTCAATGAATCACATGCGGAAAGCTCAGGGGCACCCAACGTCAATTTTCGGAAAATATCTGTTCGGAAGACGATTTGAGATTTAGAATTTTCGGAACATTTGTTGTAAAATTTCTTTTTTGCCTGCCTCTCCTAGGATTTTCAAACATCTAAAAAATGGTATAATTGCCAATTTTTAACGGATTTTTACCCTAAAAAGGTCACCGAGAATTTTAGGGAAATTTTTTTCTGGCTGAAATTTTCGAAAAGGTAAGTTTTGACCCCCATAATTTTCGGATCACTAGACTTTCAGATAGGAAATCCGAACGGATGAAAAATTTTTAGGGGATAAAAAGATACTTATATCTACCGTTTAAATACTAAGATACATTTAACAATGCTATGTTTAAATGGTTTTGAACTATATTCTCGTTGGGTGCCCCTGAAAGCTTTGAGGAAGAATAAAAAGCCCACAAAATACATGTACGTGTATACAGAATTTCCCGTGTGAAGGACCTTCATGGAAAATTCTCCATGGAATTCCAAGAGATTTCAAACACTTCTTTGGGTTTGAAGTAAAGGCAACTGTCGAGCCAGGGCATAGAGTGAAATCTTTATAGTTTCGACACTTCAAAAATACGGTGTAGTATTTGCGTCACGCAACTGTAGTGCTACACCGGAAGATGAAGAGCACTCTTCTGCCGAGTCGACAAATTTATCGTTGTTTGTAACTCAGAGGAACATTTCTACAGGATATCTGGTAAGACTATAGACTCCTTATAATTTTACATAGAAATCGAGTCAGATGCAGAAAGTACATTGAGAATTTCCGACTACCAGGCACCTAGTACTTTTTGAAAACCGTACCCGTGAGTAAAGAATTACCGTTAATGCAAGCTCGGAGAATTTGTCCACAACAATACGAAACCTTTATTTAGAATCAATCTCTTATTGAAGAAGCTGTAATCACAAACTTAGATTTAATATAATGCGGGGAATGTAGGCCTGGCGTTTGAAGGAAATTAACACTGGCGAACCAAAGATGCACAATTCAGAGAGAAATAAGCTTCAGCTAATACGTGAATTCATAAACCGTCAGTATGTAAACATGACTTTATTTAATGCCACGAAAGAGGGAAGTTCTATTTCAGTATGTCCCGATCAGAACCACTATGATATTTAGTTATAGCTACGTCCTACCTAATCATTGGGAAAAACGGCGTCAGGTCATAACTATAATGAATCAGTCTCTTGTATAGTTGTTACTTAGGAGACATGAAAATTCTTAAGCTTATATTTTCACTTTGCCACATCGAAGTCTTCGATTTCAAATTCTGCTAGAATTAATAATTATTTCAAAGGATTCCGAAGACAATTTGCAGCAAAGACCACAGGCATATCTGTATAAACAAAAAAGATGAAAACTACATCTATAAAAACCAAATAGCACCCGAAAATATACCCTTCTTAATTCTAATCTAGCAGAGACAATCGAGCGACGTACGAGCTCAATTCTCTGCAACCAAACACGAGTTTGTGTATAAGTTAAGCTTACCTTCCTCTTTAATGCCAATCCGGCTGAGTCAAGCAGTCGATTTTGAAACAAGCCAAATAAAGCAACCTCACAAGTGAATATTTTGCGTTGAAAAGAACATCTTTTTGGGAAGCATTCATTATAAAGACAATCCGTTTGTACACCACTGTAGTATTGCACAGAAGTCCGCCTAAAGATTTGAACCAAGAAAACTGATCTTCTACACATTTCTATTGGTTCAAAAGCCCCACGTGATCGTCGCGTAAGTCACTAGGAGGAGAGGTCTGGAAGCCAGTTCAAGCACCAAACATGGCGGCTAATCGACGGCATCATCGAGAAGATGTGTGTTTTTAAAGGCTTTAAGTTGCGGTCCTTTTCAGAGTTAATTGCACTATTCCGACGCTCTCGAAGAGTGAAGCAGTGAGAGGAAAATATTGCATTGTTCTCCAAGGTGAGGGAAATGAATTTCAGCTCTCAACCCAAGACACTTTGATAGCGAGAATAGCGAGAAGAGTTTTGGCCTATTGGGATCATTCGTAGTTAATAATATACTGAAGCGGCTGCATGTTGTTATAAAACAGTGATCATATTTTAAATGCAACACTGATTTTGCAAGTTAAATGGCAGACAGCCCTGCTAAAAACCAGTTTCCTACATTTATTTTTTTTTTTGTCCTAAGGATCACTTTTTTATCAAGCGCACAAAAACCTTTGTCTTTAGATCTCTTTAATAGCCAGAAAAAACATTTCTTACGTAGGGACAGTTTCAGCATCGGTCAACATAGAACAAGTCTAAGATACTTTTGCATTGTCTGTGTAATTTAAGCCTACGCACTATTTATGCTTTTAAAAAGCTTTAAAATGTTTCCTATTCTTTTTTCCAATAAAAAGTGTGGACTTGAACATGTGGTTACAAGTTGTAACAAGTTGATGAGTTACTTGATTAATGAATTTCTATGGATTCTCATACAAACTGCAGGGACCGAATATCGAACTTCATCGATA